TACTCAGTCATAAAAAAGAACAAAAATTTTGCCATTTACAACAACATGAATGGACTTTGAGGGTATTATGTTAGTGAAATAAGTTAGAGAAAGACAAACACTATATATAATATCACTTATATGTGGAATCTACAAAATAAAAGTAGTGAATGTAACAGAAAGGAAATAAATTCACAGATACAGAGAATAAACTAATGGTTACAAGTGGAGAGAGGGACAAGATAGGGATGGGGGTTAAGTACAAACTATTATGTATAAAATAAAGCTACAAGGATATATCATACAACACAGGGAATACAGCCAATATTTTATAACTATGTGTTCAGTCACTCAGTCATGTCCTGACTTTGTGACCCCATGGACTTGTAGCCCGCCAGGCTCCTCTGTCCGTGGGATTCTCCAGGCAAGAATACTGGAGTTGATTGCCATGCCCTCCTCCAGGGGATCTTCCCGGCCCAGGGATCAAGCCCGGGTCTCCCACGTTGCAGGTGGATTCTTTACCATCTGAGCCACCAGGGAAGACCTATAAAAACTATAAATGGAGTATAAAATTTAAAAATTGTGAATCACCATGTTGTACACCTGTAACTTATATAATATTGTACATTAACTGTATCTCAATTTTAAAAAAGGTTTAAGAAAAAATACTGTTGTATACTTGAAAGTTGCTAATAGAGTGAATCGTAAGTTCTCATTACAAGAAAAAATTGATAAGTTTTCGGTAATGAATGTTAACTAGACATACAGACTTAAATTGAAGAAAGTAGGGAAAACCACTAGACCATTCAGGTATGACCTGAATCAAATCCATTATGATTATACAATGGAAGTGACAAACAGATTCAAGGGATTAGATCCGATAAACAAGAGTGCCTGAAGAACTATGGATGAAGGTTCATAACACTGTACAGGAGGCAGTGATCAAAACCATCCCCAAGAGAAAGAAATGCAAAAAGGCCAAATGGTTGTTTGAGGAGGCCTTACAAATAGCTGAGAAGAGAAGAGAAGTGAAAGGCAAAGGAGAAAAGGAAAGATATATCCATCTGAATGCAAAATTCCAAAAAACAGCTAGGAGAGATAAGAAAGCCTTGGGTGAACAATGCAGAGAAACAGAGGAAAACAATAGAATGGGAAAGACTAGAGATCTCAAGAAGATTAGAGATACCAAACATTTCATGCAAAGATGGGCACAATAAAGACAGAAACAGTATGGACCCAACAGAAGCAGAAGAGATTTAAGAAGAGGTGACGAGAATACACAGAGCTGTACAAAAAAGGTCTTAATGACCCAGATAACCATGATGATGTGATCACTCACCTACAGCCAGACATCCTGGAATGTGAAGTCAAGTGGGCCTTAGGAAGAATAACTACAACAAAGTTAGTGGAGGTGATGGAATTCCAGCTGAACTACTTCAAATCTTAAAAGATGATGCTGTAAAAGTGCTGCACTCGATATGCCAGCAAATTTGGAAAACTCGGCAGCGGGCACAGGATTGGAAAAGGTCAGTTTTTATTCCCATTCCAAAGAAGGGCAATGCAAAAGAATGTTCAGACTACCACACAATTGCAGTCATTTCACACATTAGCAAAGTAATGCTCAAAATCCTTCAAGCTAGGCTCAATTTTAGAAAAGGTTTAAAAATACTTTTTCTCAGTATGTGAACCAAGAACTTCCAGATGTCCAAGCTGGATTTAGAAAAGGCAGAAGAACCAGAGATCAAACTGCCAATATCTGTTGAATCATAGAAAAAGGGAATTCCAGAAAAATAGCTACTTCTGCTTCACTGACTACGCTAAAGCCTTTGACTATGTGGATCACGACAAACTGGAAAATTCTTAATGAAATGGGAATACCAGACCACCTTACCTGCCTTCTGAGAAACCTGTATGCAGGTCAAGAAGCAACAGTTAGAACTGGACATGGAACAACAAACTGGTTAAAGACTGGGAAAGAAGTACGTTATACGTCAAGGCTGTATATTGTCACCCTGCTTACTTAACTTACATGCAGTGTACATCATATGAAATGTCAGGCTGGATGAAGCTCAAGCTGGAATCAAGATTGCCAGGAGAAATAGCAACAACCTCAGATATGCAAATGACACCACCCTAATGGCAGAAAATAAAGAGGAACAAAGAACCTTTTGATGAAGGTGAAAGAGGAGAGTGAAAAAGCTGGCTTAAAACTCAACATTCAAAAAACTAAGATCATGGCATTTGGTCCCATCACCTCATGGCAAACAGATGCGGCAAAAATGGAAACAGTGACAGACTTTATTTTCTTAGGTTCCAAAATCACTGTGGACAGTGATTGCAGCCATAAAATTAAAAAACGCTTGTTCCTTGGAAGAAAAGTTATGACAAACCTAGACATTATATTAAAAAGCAGAGACATTATATTGCTGACAAAGGTCCGTCTAGTCAAAGCTATGGTTTCCAGGAGTCATGTATGGATGTTGAGAATTGGTCCATATCCATAAATAAGGCTGCGTGCCGAAAATCAATGCTTTCCAATTGTGGTGCTGGAGAAGACTCTTGAGAGCCCCTTGGACAGCAAGGAGATCAAACCAGTAAAACCTAAAGGAAACCAACCCTGAATATTCATTGGAAGGACTGATGCTGAAGCTCCAATAAATTTGGCCACTTGATGCAAAGAACTGATTCACCGGAAAAGACCCTAACGCTGGGAAAGACTGAGGGCAGAAAAAGAAGGGGGCGACAGAGGACAAGATGACTGAACGGGATCATTCATCAATGGACATGAGTGTGAGCTGACTCGGGGAGAGAGTGAAGGACAGGGAAGCCAGGCATGCTGCAGTCTATGGGGTCACAAAGAGTGGGACACGACTGAGTGAACAACAAGATATACTGTGATATTCCTTTTGCAATATATACAAAGAATCATATTGTATACCTGTATAATAATATATGTCAATTATACTGCAATAAAGATTTATAATCCTGGAATTAAAGTCTGAATTAGATGCCTAAGAATGTGTATGATGACATTTATCTGATGACTTAAATCCAAATATAAAAGGAAGCTACCATACGATATCAAACCCAAACACCTCATCATGGCTTTTCTCTCAACCTTTTCTTTTTCCCTTGAATTGTGTTTCATCTGAATAGCTAAAATCTGAAAACAAGTAATTCACTTTTTATAGATACAACCTTTCTACATGCACTGGCTATCACAGAATACCATTTCTAAAACCACCATCCCTTTCATACACTCTGCCTTGAAGAAACCTTCCTGCATTACCTACACTTGGCTCTGGCATTCTGCTCCTTTGCCCACCTTAGTGGCAAGCAGATGTCTATGGCCTACTGTCTGACCTCGCAGGCTCAGGCTCTTTGAGCACAATTCCTCGGAAAGGAGAGTCTATTCTTTGGAATTAAGAGTACTGAAGTGAAGAAGGATTTCAAAGATGGTTTAGTTGAATTCTCTAACTTCACACTGGAAGAAACAGGGGCTCAGAAAACAGAAGGGCCTTGTCCTCAGTCACACAGCCAGTACAGCGTCTGGAAGAGAATGTGGGCCACTTGACTGCCATAATGTACTTCACTCAACTCTACCATTCTTCTTCAACTCCAAAAAATACTTACTGTGGGCCTGATGTTTTCCTAATTTGGGGGATACTAAGAAAAATATGAAAGATTTTACTATACATTTCATTTGTCTTATTTACTGACTGCCCCCACCAGTAGAATATATGTGCCACGAGGGAAGGGAGTTGCGTCTGTGTCTGTTTTTGTTTAGCACCGTATCACCACTGCCTGGCACAGGGAAGGCACTGAACAAATACTGGCTGAAGGTATATGAGGTGGCTGCTGTCCCTGCAACTCAGTTTACATAATGTCGAACTCTAAAGTTACTGTGCAATGTTGAGAATGGTGTTAGCAAAATAAGGCAAGAAGACCCCACTGTAGGAATACAGAGCCTCAGAGGCTGGGCTTTGTACAGAGTGAGTCTGCCAGGGACAAAGAGGAAGAGTATTCCAACAAAAGAAACTATATGGTGCTGCCTGGTGGCCTAACGGTTAAGATTCCAGGTTTTCACTGCTGTGGCCCAGGTTCAGTCCCTGGTCAGGGAACTGAGATCCCCCAAGCTGTGAAGCACAGTCAAAAAAAAAAAAAAAAAAAGAAAACTATTGTTTGGCCAACAAGTCTGTTCAAGTTTTTCTGTACCATCTTATGTAAAAACCTGAATGAACTTTTTTTCGGCCAATGAACATATATTGGCCAACTCAATATATGATGACAAGAAAAGAGCAACACAGCCAAGATGAGCAAAACAGAAGTGGGATGGCTGGAGGACAAGGTGAGAGGCTCAAAATGGGCCTGTATATAAGCAGTAGACTGTTGGAAATACAGCCTGAAGCCTGGGAGAAAAACTGCTACTGGATGTATGGACCTGGTTGAAACTATGAAAGAAATGAGTCACCCAGCTTGGAAAACTACACTTAGTGGGTATTCTGAATGTGACTAAACTGTTAAGCTGCATCCAGAATTTTCTTCCTAGGGTATCAAGTCCCACATGTGCATTCATGCATGTTAAGTCTCTTGTCACGCCCGACTCTTTGCAACCCTAGCAACTATAGCCCACCAGGCTCCTCTGTCCATGGTCTCCAGGCAAGAATACTGGAGAGGGTTGCCATGCCATCCTCCAGGGGATCTTCCCGACCCAGGGATCGAACCCACATCTCCTGTGTCTCCTGAATTGGCAGGCGGCTTCTTCACCACTAGTACCACCTGGGAAGCTCCACATATTACATGACAAACTTGCAGGCACCTATTTGCCCATGCACCTGGGACTCCCACTTGACTCATTTTGGACCACTGTTCATATTTCGTGGGTAATGGTAGCATTCTGAAATTTCAATTCTGATGTCCAGTTAGGGCTCTCTACTCATTAAAAACTCCTAGGTATAACTATTTACATTTTCACAGTTGTATGCTGAATAATAACTGATATTTAAAGTTTAATTACTCACCATTACTTCTTAGAGAAAAGGTGTGTGCTGTGTCTCCAAGTCTAATTATTTCACCAGTGGATTCTGCTTCATCTCCATCCCAGGAGGAGCCCAATGCCCCAGACGATAAGGAACACCTGAAAGAGTTTCTTCACTTACTCATGGCCTGGCCTGACCACAAGGGCCCTTCCAGTGAGGATCCCAAGAACTGCTTCAAGTAGCCTGCCTATGAATGCTCAGACTGGTCATCACTATGTGAGGAAAAAGGGAGACTTTCCCTTTTGCTGCTTATCTGATATATGTATGGTGGGAAAGAAGTGTATAAAGTGTCAAGGATTAAATGTATAAGAGAAGACACACAGAGAACAATAAATATCGGTTACTTTAGGGGTGTGAAGGGAATCTGGGTAGGATACTTATTTTGTACTAAACATCCTCCTGTTGTTTTACTTTTGCACTTTTTAAAAAATCTAATAATGAAAAATTAAGTCAAGAAATTTATTTTCTGATAGTCTTCTTTAGACACATTTTTCACAATGTGCTATATTTAAATAAGAAAGCTTTGCTTGTGCTTTTCAAACTAGGACAAACTCCACAAAATAAATGATAATCAGATATTTAAAAGAAAATCTTAGCATCATATTCAATCTCTACTTAGCAGAAGTATAATCAAGCCTGTAACATTACATTTTGCCTATGAAAACAGCACAAATTTAAAAACTCTGGTATTTAATAGGCAACAATACTGGTTGGTGACTACTGGGGCAGTCACCCAGCACTTTTATACTGCTGGTGGGTATATAAACATTCACAGCCTTTTTGGAAAGTAATTTGGCAACTTTGAATCACCCTATATCATTCATAGTCTTTGACTTTGAATACAGCTTAAATATATAAGAAGAAAAATTAAAGCATGTATCACCTTAAAATGTAAATATATATAAAAAAACTACCTCTACTGAAGAGGAATGGTTTAGTAAACTATGATGCACCTATTTGCACAGTATGCTATACAGTGATTAAAAAATGATTATAAAGAGTTTATCAAGTTAGGAAAAGACTTGATGTGTTAAAACTTTAAAATTTAGCAAACAAAATTATATACACAATATGACTAAATCCCAAAAGAAAAATAGTTAAAAAAAGACTAAATTACAACAAAATGTTAATAAGCAGTTACTCAGTTCTGAATGATATAGTTCATCTTATTCTTTGTTTTTTGCTTCTTTTTTACTCCAAGTACTTTCCAAGTATTCTGCAAGGAACATAAATTATTTTGGTGATCAAGGAGATGTTTTAAATTAAGTAGGCAGTTAATGCTGAGATTATACATAGCTCAAGGTGCTTAAAACTCTCTCAGGGAGGTTTAAGACATGAGAAGTTAGTAAAATTCATGTTAGCTTTGTTTTTTGCTGCCATTCTGGTATACTGTGTGCCAATTTTAATTCTTAGAAGAAGGAAAAGCATAACTTGTTTTGATTAAATTCACAGACATTGAAAATAAATAAATAAATAAATTCACAGACATTGAGAGCTACCTCTCAAAAGAAACTCTTTTCCATGATGATCTGGATTCTTTAGTATTTTCTCGATCTTCCAAAGGGTCTCCTCGATGGGATTCTTTCGAACCCTGTCCAGTTTCACCTATTTGGAACAGATAAAAACAATACCAAAAAAAAAAAAAAAAAACCCACCTCAAGTTAAAAAAAGAAAAAACAAGTTAATGCAATTATTTCTCTACAGGGCAGGCACAGAAGTAAGGACAGCAAAATACCCTCAACCCCTTACTAGGCTCCTGTGAAAGTGAAGTTAAGAACCAAATCATTACTTGCAATGAGCATGCATTACCTGGGTAACAAAGAAGCAACACAAGTGCTGCTTTCTAAGAAGAGTCTACAGCTGTACTAGCAATGTTTTCTTCTTTAAGCTAGGTGGTAGGTTCATGTATTCTTTATACCTATCTGTAAGGGATGTCTGAGGCAGAATGTCTAGGGTGTAGCTTCACAAAAACATGACTGTCAGCCTAACTAAAGCTCCAAGACAATAATGCCCTAGCCGGAGAGAGAGACCACATTAAGGTAAGGCATGGGTGAAATTTTCCCTAAGACTATCAACCTTGGAAATTCCCTGGTGATCCAGTGGTTAAGACTCTGCCCTTCTGTAGGGGTTCATCCCTGGTTGGGAAACTAGGATCCCACATGCCATACTGAGTGGCCAAAAAAAGAGAAGACTATCATTTTTTTCTACCCCAACATACTAGAGAAATACATTTTCACAGTGGCAGTAACTGAGCGAGTGATTTCAGGAGGTATGTGGGTGAAATTTCCTACTTCAGATCTACCCGTCTGCATATTCTCATCCCACTTCTCACTTTTTTCTATTTCTATACTCACCAAACAACATTTTAACAACGTTAGTCAATATTCATTGTGTAGTAACTCTGGGCTAGGCTCAGTACTAAACCACTTATGTGTATCTATTAACCTTTCCTACAACCGTGAAAGAATTTCCGATGGGGGAAAACTGAAGCTTAGAAAGGTTCAGTCATACAGTGAGGGTGGAGATTTAGTCATACAGTGGGTAGCAGCACTGAGTCCACAGTTTGCCTTTAATTTCCTTGTTCTGCAGTGGTAAATGATAATGCCAGCTCAGAAGAAACTGCCCTATACCTGACTTGACTAGTAATAAATAGTTCCTGCTATTAATTGGCATTTTGAGATTCTGATCAGCTCCAGGTAGTCCTGCTGTATAAACCTGGACCTGCAAAGTTGAGAACCAGACTTCAGAAAACATCCTCCAACTCCATCTGAGCAATTCCCTCCTAGCAGCAGTAAGCTCACCACAGCCTCCTGCCCTCCCCTGGAGATTCCCCACTCAGCATTTCATCTTCTACCACTCTCACATGTAGGTTCTGTCCTCAGTTCTGTCCTCCTCTCCATCCCCATTAGCATCCCCCACTACCTGTAATCAAGTACTATGTCATAAAAACTGCTGTCTCTAGGAGGTTTCAAATCAATCAATCTCCTACAGATAGTTTTCTTCCTCTTATTTTTGCTGCTAAAATGACTAGGAAACCAAAAAGCATCTAATATCTATGGCTGCCTTGAGGGTTTTTTTGCATGTCACTCACTCCCTCCCAATTCTCTTACAATGCTTTTTATTGTATGTACTTATGGCAGTCTCCCTAACTTGAGTATAGGTTTATTTGAGAGCAATAAATATGGCATGCAGCTCTGACTCTTCCCAGCGTTCCCAGGTTGATATTTAACATATTAATGTATCACACACACTGAAGTTTTCTGAAATTAAAATAAAAAGAAATATACGGTATGGGGCATCCTTCAAACTTTCCTTCTTTGCCTTATCTCTATATGCTTTTAAATCTTTTCAGCAACAAAGGTAAAAGAAAACTATCTCTAAATAATTTAATTTCAGATGTTATAATCATGGCATAGGTATCAGCATCAACAATGTAAGAATTAGAAATCATGAGCCTGCCCCCATTTTTTGTCTTCATTTGTACTAGAATTTATATAAATTGCTATCGCAGCTAAAAACTTGTTTTGGATAACTTCACAATAGTAAACCTATTCTGAGTCATATATTATTCACTGTATATCAATGTTGGTGTTGTTCAGTCACTCAGTTGTGTCCGACTCTTAGTGACCCCATGGACTACAGCACGCCAGGCTTGCCTGTCCTTCACCATCTCCTGCAGCTGGTTCAAACTCATGTCCATTGAGTCGGTGATGCCATCCAACCACCTCATCCTCTGTCATCCTCTTCTCCTCCTGCCTTCAATCTTTCCCAGCATCAGGGGCTTTTCAAATGAGCCGGCTCTTCGTATCAGGTGGCCAAAGTACTGGAGCTTCAGCTTCAGCATCTGTCCTTCCAGTGAACATATCAGGACTAATTTCCTTTAGGATTGACCGGTTTGATCTCCTTGCAGTCCAAAGGACTCTACCACTCTCACCACTCTGTGAGTGCTGGAGTCTTCTCAACACCACAGTTCAAAAGCATCAATCCTTTAGCACTCAGCCTTCTTTATGGTCCAACTCCCACATCTATACATGACTGCTGGAAAAACCACGGCTTTGACATGGACCTTTGTTGGCAAGGTAATGTCTCAGCTTTTTAACATGCTGTCTATGTTGGTCATAGCTTTTCTTCCAAGGCAAGGGTCTTTTAATTTTATGGCTATAGTCACCATCTGCAGTGATTCTGGAGCCCAAGAAAATAAAGTCTGTCAATGTTTCCATTGTTTCCCCATCTATCTGCCATAAAGTGATGGGACAGGATGCCATGATCTTCATTTTTTTTGAGTGATGAGTTCTAAGACAGCTTTTTCACTCTCCTCTTTCATCAAGAGGCTCTTTAGTTCCTCTTCGATTTCTGCCATAAGGGTGGTGTCATCTGTGTATCTGAGGTTATTGATATTTCTCCTGGCAATCTTGATTCCAGCTTGTGCTTCATCCAGCCCAGCATTTCACATGATGTACTCTGCATATAAATTATATAAGCAGGGTGACAATATACAGCCTGATGTACTCCTTTTTCAATCTGGAACCAGTCCATTGTTCCATGTCCAGTTCTAACTATTGCTTCTTGACCTCCATACAGGTTTCTCAGGAGGCAGGAGAAACCTGTATGTATTTTGTACTATTGATCAATTCAAACTGGTAAGACATAGAGGTCCTTCTTTTTTTTTTTTTCCAATGATAGGTAACAGTGCATGAAAACCTCTAAGCACCTCTTTTTAAAAAAAATTTATATTATCTGGATGCATTAGGTCTTAGTTGCAGCACCTGGGATTTTCAATCTTCAATGCAGCCTGTGGGACCTAGTTCCCTGACCAGGGATCAAACCCAGGCCCCTGTATTGGGAGTACAGACTCTTAGCCACTTAACTATCAAGGAAGTCCCTAACTTTCTTCTGTACTATTTCTTCAGGATAAATCCCTAGAAATGGGATTTATGGAGTCAAAAATTATGAATAACTCCTATACACTAGTGATCCAGTTTAAATATAACCAGAACACTTTTGGAAAATATTAATAATTCACCAATAAAAAAACATAAAATCAAGATTTCACACAACAAACTGTTACAATTTGGGGAACTGAATTACCTGAAGAGTAAAATAAATATTCAAGCTGTCACAAACCTATGTGTAGGCTGAAGACAGAAACATAACAACTCTTTCGGTTGATGCCTTGACAATATCCAAATTTGCACAAAAATGGCAGTTCTGACACGGGAATTACTGAGTAAGGAATTTCATGTAATAACAGGACAATAAGCAATTTTAACTAGATTTAGCTTCGTATTATATATTAGCTTTAAAGTAATTTATAAGCAATACCCAAGTTGACAAAGGATGTGATGATTAGCTAAGAGTTTTCAACCACTTCAACAGTGAGAACTGAAATTTAATTTACAATTAAATTTGTCAGATACAGTGTATTAGTGATTCTAATGCCTAAGAAAAAAAATAGGCAAAAAGATTAAAAGGGAGATAACAGAATATAAATCAAGCCAAATTTTATGCTTAAACTTACTTTTCTCATGAGATGTTTCACTGATGTGTTCTGTAAGATACTCCAGCAACCCATCAAATATTTCTAGAAGATTCTTAATAGATTCTTTATCTCCTTTCACTATATTTTCTCCTGAACACAGAATACAGAGCTATTAAAAAAAAATTGACCAAGAAATTGAAAGCCTCATGAGTTTGAAATGGATATACCAGTGTAAAAACAGTGTTCAGGACACAGGATTATAAATTAACTCGAGAAAAAATGACAGTATAAACATTAAAAATATCAATTTCCTAAAAAAAAAAATCAATTTCCTGATACTTGATTATATTTGAAAAATGGTAGTCCTGAACAATATGGGTGATAATTCATTGGCATAGTCCTTCATTTATGAAGAAGCAAAATAAGTGAACTTCCCCATAAGATTTATACTAAAGTATAAAAACAAACCAAAAAAAATAAAGTATAAAACAACTAAGCCAAATTTTATTAGCCTGGTGAATATGGAATGATGGTGGTGTGACTTGTTCTGAAGACAACAGCAGTAGAGAATATAAAACAAAAACAAACTTCAGATACCTTCATCAGGAATTCCTAATTTTTAAAATTTGTTAACTCCTATTCACTTACTACAGGTTATACCATTTTTTAATTAAAAACTGAGCCAGTTCCCTGCACATAAAACTCCTTTTAATCTCACCTTACCCCCAACTCTCCAGCCTTACCTTCCATTATACCAACTTAATACCTAGAAACTAACCTTTAAACAGTCTCCAGCACAGTACCTGGCTCAAATAGATTTTCAATAAATGTTAAGTTGAAATGTTGACAAGAAATGGGCTGCAAAATCATGAAAACTTGACATGTTTAATATCACCTAAAATGGACTCTGAGCAACCTGAGGTATGGATGGAACTCAAAACTCCTGAGACACTTGGGCTGTCCTTTGGGAGATTAGATTTGGCATGAATTCAAACAAATATGGGAGAGGTGAAGTGGAAATTTGATATTTGAGATAATCCAGTCATTCATAACCTCAGTCATGATGCAAAAAAAAAAAAACCCAAAAAACTAAACCAGAAATATAATGTTTTACAACACTCCAGTAAAGACAGTCAATGTTTGATAGTTTTTTTTGTTTAAAACAACTGAACAGAAATCTTAAGCCCTATGTTTGTTTTTTTTCTTAAGCCCTATGATCTCTGGCTTAACAAGATACACAAGCATACCCCAAGGACATATCCAAGACTTCTGGTTTCCAGGACGGGGAGCATACTCTGCCAACCCAGCAACACGACTGCCGGCGAGAATGCAGCACTTCAGAGTGTAGGAGAAACTGCTTTAAACAGCACAGAAGGACTAAAAAGCTGCTTTGCAGTCTACTGGAGGAGGTAAGCAGTTTTGCAACTTTCTGTGGGGTGGGTATGAGTTGTCAGAGGCAACATCACACACCAGAAGTTCTATAAGCAGACACAATCTTGGTATGTGGTATGTTTATATAGTAAACATAAATACCAAAAATTGCCCAATTGGGAGAGAAAGCCATTTCCAAAGAACAGGGAAGTCCCAGCATTATCTCTCAAAATGAATTTTCTCCAAACTAATTTACCACATTTACTCACCTTGAACTACATTAAAAAACTTAAAGACAGTATTTCTGTAAAATGGTGCTATTACTACCAAAATAAGATATAAATGTCTATCCTGACTAAGATGTATCTCTTTTAATGATTGTCAAAGAATCAAACAGTATACACTTTCTCTTAGTGCTTCAGGTATAGTTTCAAGTCTCTAGAATTTCCTCTGTTCATTAGCCTGAAATAACCCTCATTTTCTATCTACCAAAACAGATTTACAAATGAAATTGTTATGTTTGGCTTTTGAATGTAAGCATGGATACTGTTTTGGAAAAAGGGTGAAAAACAATTTACAGTTTTATTTATTCTGAACAGGTAATACATTCATATGGTTCAAAATTTTAGAAGTGCAAAAGGTATAAGATGAAAAATCTCATCCCACCCTTGTCCAGTTCATCTCATCGGAGGCAATCAGAATTAAATTTCTTACATGTACTTCTACAGAGTCCTGCATTCAATCAACTGCATATAACTTCTGAATTTGTTTTTACAAATAGCATATTCTGCAAATCAGCATTGTAACTACATCATATTTTTCTCATTCAATATATATTAGAGATCATTTCATGAATATGGAACACTGTATTGACATACAAAGAGCATCATCAATTATCTTTCATAGCTGCAGAGTAGTTCCCTATAAGAAACTATAGTAATTTATTTAACCTGTCCCTATTAATGGACACTCAGGTGTTTCTAATTTTTAGCTACTATAAACAAACAATGGTAGCTGTATAGTAACAACAAAACACAATTCAAATTACCAGCTAGGATTCTGAGACCTATCCCAAAACAACGTATGACTCTCCTGGAAAAGCTTTTAAGGATGTTGTCTTAACTATACCAGTGAACTGTCTTGGTTCAGTCTTGCTCTTTGGTCTATTCCACAACCTTACTCATTTGGTAAAACAAGGCTGAATTCTATCCAACAAAATACTTTAGTAAAATGCAAAATTATCTGATGATTAAGTACATACCAACCTGTTATGTGAGACAGGCTGACCTGTAGGTAATCCAAAGCCAGCGAATCAATCACTGCTTGCACATTGTGAGCTTCATCCTCTTGATTCCTGGGAATAGCTATGAGATCTGTGGGGAAAAAACTATGTAACTCTGCATCCTGCGCAAGTCCAAGTTTTCATCTACCTGTCTCTGACCAGGCCTCTGAGCTATGCCCAAACAGAGTGGGCCATAACATACGGATAAACAGAGCCTGAATTCCACAAAGTAGAATCTTTACTGGTTGAATACACAGTCAATCAACATATATATGGAGAAGGAAATGGCAACCAACTCCAGTATTCTTGCCTGGAGAATCCATGGGCAGAGGAGCCTGGTGGGCTAGTCCATGGGGTCGCAGAGAGTCAGACACGACTGGGCGACTGACACACACACGTACACAGCACATGTATGAACATGCTCTGTAATAAGTGCCACTCTGAAGAAAGCTAAAGAGATCCATAAACTCAAGGAGATGCCAATACTCTTAACGAGAGACAGAACCTGTGAGGTGGGACTTTAACCCATAACCCCAGGTTGTTTTCCGTGAGAGGGAAAAAACCCATAACAGGCGTGAAAGGAGGATTCATATTATGTGCTGTTAAAGCAAGCTATTGGGAATTACTGGCATAAAGGCTTTTAAGATCAGAGCAGAAAGATTTTAACAACAACTTAAATTTGGAGTTTCTCCTCTTGTATTGAGGAAGGTAAATGTCTTGGGGAAGGATGAAATGAGTCTTTTAAAAGACTGATTCAATAACTACATGCCTCTGTACTCTAAAGAGACTAGCATCAAAGATACCAGCTGGAGGCTATCCCATTATTCCAGGAAGTGATGAGGGCACTGACTCATAACAATGGAGGGAAGAGGGACTGTACAGAGCTTTAGTACTTAACGGTTGTAAACAATATAAAGAGACAGAGGTAGCAGAGCAATCTGTGGGTAAGGACTGAGAGACTTAACCAGGAACACAGTACAAACAGCAGTTCTCATCCATAACATTGGTTAAATACCAAGACTCAACAAGTCTTCAAATTCCATTCAATTTTAGAACCCATGAAGGTACATTTACAGAGAAGGTGTGACTTTCACACGACATTATGAATGATTAAACAGTTGATGACCAAGGCAGTTACTATAGGTGGGTCTCCTAAGACATTCATTAAGGCAGTGAATGCTATTATTTAGATAAAAAGAAGATACAAAGAGAAATCTCAAGATTTTATATGTAAGATCTAACTAAAAAAAACTAGGAAAAAAAAAAGCACTAGAAATGTCTGGCCTAAGATATAGACACTATATAAACACTATTACTTCTGCTTTTAAGTATCCTTACCTGGTACCTTTTCTCCCAAAATGGATTGATAAAGAGCAATAAAAACATTAGCATCACAGTCTTCTAGTTCTCGAATCCTCAGGTGTATGTGACATTTCAAAAGAAGATTATTGGCAATAGTTATCCATTCTTTTGGGAAAGGAAGGAAAAGATTAGTCTAATACTAGAAAAAGTCAAACACATTTCTTTAAAAAATAACCTCCACAAACACAGACACTATATTCAACAGAAGATAAGGAATTTGATTATTAAAGAATTTCGAAGACCCTCCTAAGTTATTTTTTTTTCAATTAAAAACAATTTTTTTTGGCTACACCCTACAGTATAAGGGATCTTAAATCCCTGAACAAGAATCAAACCTGCATCCTCTACACTGGAAGGTGGAGCCCTAACCACTGGACTAGGCATGATTTTTGAAAAGCTGTATTTAATTTCTTGGGATGACTTCCAAAAAGCTGTAATTTCAATTTAGTCAAAACTAGGGATTGGGGGCAGGAGGAGAAGGGGACGACAGAGGATGAGATGGCTGGATGTCATCAATTCAATGGACAAGGGTTTGAGTGGACTCCGGGAGTTGGTGATGGACAGGGAGGCCTGGCGTGCTGCGATTCAAGGGCTCGCAAAGAGTCGGACACAACTGAGCGACTGAACTGATGATGCAAATTCAATTTTCACTGCTGCAACCTAAAATCTTAAGTTACTTACCATAGATCTCATTTTACTAACCAAAGGTAGATAACACATTTACAAGTAAACAGGATGTCACAAACAAGACAGTTAATGATAATCTCAGGCTACTAGAAACTAATTAATGGATGTTGCTTCAAATTCCCCATAGCATTAGTCATGTTTTTAACCCAATTATCTTGTACAAGTTGGAATTTCTCTGCTGCCCAAATAGGTGGTGATTAGCCTAGGCTGTGAAGAACTAGAGTAATGGCACCAACACTACTGCATTTGTTAGTTCTATTTTTAATTATACTTGACGTATATGAAAAGAGATATGGGAAAATCATAAAAACGCCTTTAAATTCAGAGCTAGCACATTACTAACCCTATCGAAGTTTCCTGTGTATCACCCCTCCGTTGGGATTAGCCAAATTATTTCAAGGGCTTCTCAACCAAAGGTAATTTAGCAAACCTGAAACACTTGTTCCCTGAAATAACTGGCGATTAAGGGGCAAGTTCTTTTACTGTGCACGTTATCTTCAGTATGTTCTATAAATAAACGTGTATGTGTGGGAGTGTCAAGGCACGTTATCTCCGTCTCCCAGTGCCCATTACTTACAGCAGACCAAACCATGACAACTGGTTTGAACGCTGTCTTGGAAAAAAAGATGAAAGCGTCCTAAACAACCCAATCAGCTCGGTTTTCAAAAACGGCTCTACACAAAGCCAGTAACCGTAGAAAGCACTGAAGCGGGAAAATCCACCACTATTCTGCTTTGGAATGGCAACAAAATTTTTAGAGCGCTAATACGCAGTTCTCAGGCCCCGCAATGCAGCAGAGGGCACACTCCCTAGAAAATAAGAGTCTAGGGAAAGACACTTTCTGATCATTTACAGCCAACATGCCCGCGTGCTTCCGGCCTCACCGCAGGGCCCTTGTCTCCCCACCCCAAATCAGGCTCGACAACTTCGAATGCGCCAGGGAGCAGGGCTGAGAAGCCCCAGCCAGAAAACCCGCCAACTACGACCGGCTTGTCTCACGAGCCCCGCCGGCAACCCAGACCCACCCGAAGCCTCAGATAAGCTGGGGAGGAGCGTTCAGGACTTGGACTGAAAGGGGACTTGAGCACACACACAAACGGGGCTCCAGGCAGAGACTCACCAGCCTCTGAGCCGGCCATGTCGCGGAGGCAAGTCGCCACCGGACTCCCAGCCGGGCGCGCGCGCGGGACGGCGTCCTGAATGGGCCGCAAGGCGCAGACGCAGCGCTGACAGGAAGGGAAGCAAACAAAAGTGCCGGGAAGGGGGGCGGTGGAAGAGGGACGGACGTTAAAACGGCTTCTCGCTGCTGATTGGTCACCGCGGGAGCACTTCCTCTGGCAGCACGTGCCGAGGTGGCGGTTTGCGAGGTCTAGAAACCATTTTTCACCAGCCAGATCGCGCTCAGGGGTCCTGGGGTGGGTGGGTTTGACAACTCGGGTCACCCAGCAGCCCCGGCAGATTTCCCGGGGGCATTAGCACGGCACTTCCGGTGAGCTATTTAGTCCTGTACTCCTCCGCCGACACCAAATGGGGAAGTAGTGCGTCCCGCTCACTCGGCGGGCGGGGGCAGCCACGTGACAATGGCAGGTTCCGCCTTCCTGTTGCCCCTAGTAATGGGCGTAAAGGCTCTTTGGAGACGTAAACATCTCCAAGGGGACCGAGTGGGTTGACCAGGGCTGGGCATTTTATTGTCTGGGCTAGACCTGGAAAAGGGCGCAGTGGCTTCCCTGAAGTGTGAAAAACCAGAAAACGGTGAAGTCAAGAGAGTGCAGGCTGAGGTATCCCAGTGGTGGACGGCGAGGTGGGGGAAGGGCAGGTCCCATCCTTGAAAGAGGCGAAAAATCGGCTAAGGGCCCGGGGGGAGGGGCGAGAAAATGGCGAATCCCGGAACGCCGGCAGGCGTTAATACCTCTGCGCAGGGGCGGAGTGATTAGGTCATAGAGCGGCTCCCAGCATTCTCTGCGGCGTAGGAGGCGGGCCAGGCTATAAAACCGGCTGCCGGGACGCGGCCGGCACCTCATTCATTTCCACCGGTCTCTTGTTGGGCAGCCTTGGCTTCTGTCGTCGTCGTTCCTCCGCCGCTGCCGCCCCCGCAAGGCTTTGCCGTCGCCGGAGCCGCCTCCAGCGACTCGTCGCACCCGATTCTCTCCGCTTCGCTTCCCGCCAACCGCAACCATTGACGCCATGTCGGGTTATTCGAGTGACCGAGACCGTGGCCGGGATCGAGGGTGAGTTGGGAACCGACCTGTCAGGCCCGGTGGGTGGGGGATGGGAGACCGATGAGGGTTGCGGGGGTGGGGTGGCGGGGGGAACTCGGCTTCTAAAGACTATGCTTGGGCCGCCGCCATCGAAAGGGGCTTGCGCCATTTTGATACTTGTCCAAAACTGGAGTTTTCTTGTTAACGGCCTTAAAAATTCCTTTTTGTTTCGGAAGCGGGTATCGGGGCCTTGATGATTTGGCAACTGTTGGGAGAATTTCGAGCACATTTCTCGAGGGGAGGAGAGCGCAGCGCTTCGAGGCGAAGTAGCTGCTGTTAGGTGTACGCTTACAGGAGTTTTACGGAATCTGGGGATTCTGTGGGTGACGAGGGGGCCGCCTCCGAAGCCGTTAATGCGGCGAGGGTGGGAGGGTGGCCGGCGCCGCGGGAATCGTCCATGTGGCCGAGCCGTGGGTACAAAATGCCGGCGGCGGACATGGCGGCGGCGCCTTTGTTACCCCGCCCGGCGGAGGAGCTCAAAATGGCAGCGTCGAGAAAATGTGGCGCAGAGAGAAATGCGAGACAAAGGGGGAAGCGCCGCCCCAGCGGGAACGCCGCCCGAAGGACTCCGCCCGGGCCGGGACTCCTCCCCCGGTAGTCTCCAGCTCCTCCTCCTCGTTTTCCTTTCGTTATATAATTTTGCTACCTTGGTAGGAAGCCGTTTTGAGGGATCCCCCCAACTCATTGGCTTGCCTAACTGTCCCCGAGACCACCCTCTGTGTTCTGCTCTCACTGCCTGTGTTGTTCCGCTACGTATTAAAACCAGAGCTCTTTGGTTCAGGACAGCTGTTTAAATAACATCGGTGTTAAACTTCTACTTTATTTGCTTTTTTAGGCATTTAATTTTTTGCTCGTGGGAAAGAGTAGTAGCCACCAGCTGTTGTCTGTCCTTGTATCTGAACTTCTAGAGCTTGGCAAACCAGTTTCCGACCCAGTAAATCCCGGGCTGTTGATTTGTTTTCAATGGTGTGTACTTCGTATAACGGGAAATGAGGGAGATGTGGTATTAACTGTGGCTTTTGAAAGAATGACCATCACTGAGGACAGCACTTCCACCTCCAGAGTCTTTCATTGATTTTTAGCATGTGCGCAGGAATGGTGAAAATGTAATTTTTTTTTTTCTTTAATTTTAGGTTTGGTGCTCCTCGATTTGGAGGAAGTAGGGCAGGGCCCTTATCTGGAAAGAAATTTGGAAACCCTGGAGAGAAACTGGTTAAAAAGAAGTGGAATCTTGATGAGCTGCCCAAATTTGAGAAGAATTTTTATCAAGAACACCCCGATTTGGCTAGGCGTACAGCAGTGAGTAATTTGATGTGGTTTCTTCAGGCTGTAACTCGGTGACTTTTAAGTTTGACTAGAAATGTCTTAGAAACTTAAAAGGAATGTTAATGTAGATAATTATTATTTTAGGGGTGTATTGGTCGTGTGTTTAGTTAGGGGGAGCCCTCATGAGATATAACTGAATTTTTATAATTTGTTTTGTAGCAAGAGGTAGAGACGTACAGAAGAAGCAAGGAAATTACAGTTAGAGGTCATAACTGCCCAAAGCCAGTCCTGAATTTTTATGAGGCAAACTTCCCTGGTAAGTACTAGTTTTCCCCACCTTTTAAAAAAAATTCCTTTCTCTTAGCATTATTGATGTTTGTTTAATTCTTAATATTACAGCAAATGTCATGGACGTGATTGCAAGGCAGAACTTCACTGAACCCACAGCTATTCAAGCTCAGGGATGGCCAGTTGCTCTAAGTGGATTGGATATGGTTGGGGTAGCACAAACTGGATCTGGAAAGACTTTGTCTGTAAGTTTGGGGGACCTCTTGAGTTATGTGACAGGTCCTGAAGAAAATGGGTTGGTAATTAAACCAGAAGTGTTTTTAATATTTAATACGACCTTTTCTTTTCCCTTGTTTAGTATTTGCTGCCTGCCATTGTCCACATCAATCATCAGCCATTCCTAGAGAGAGGTGATGGGCCTATTGTAAGTGTACATATGTATTCTCTTAACTTGGTTAAAAGCATAGAGATTTGTAGACTATACAGCAAAAGAAAATTTGTGGTGGTTTTATATAGAGAGTTATGGTTTTCAGTGTAGGAAGGGACAAAGCTGCTCTGGGTATTGACAGTGTAAATCATCTGCCAGTATAGCAATAGTAAATTAGCACTTTAAAACTAGAATTCAGGACTCTGCTAAAGGTGTTTCACTTGCTCTTTTTTTAGTGCTTGGTGCTGGCACCTACTCGGGAACTCGCCCAACAGGTACAGCAAGTAGCTGCTGAATACTGTAGAGCATGTCGCTTGAAGTCTACTTGCATTTATGGCGGTGCTCCCAAGGGACCACAAATACGTGATTTGGAGAGAGGTATGTAAGGAAAAAGGTTTTATTTGTCACTGATTATGCAGAAAGTTCTGGATGTCATGGTAACATCTGTGTTTAATTGAAGGTGTGGAAATCTGTATTGCAACACCTGGAAGACTGATAGACTTTTTAGAATGTGGGAAAACCAATCTAAGAAGAACCACCTACCTTGTCCTTGATGAAGCAGATAGAATGCTTGATATGGGATTTGAACCCCAAATAAGGAAGATTGTGGACCAGATCAGAGTGAGTGCCCTTTAAATGTTGTCATGTCTTCAAGCTAAGCTATAAATTTGTTCTTACAACATCTTTTTTTTAATCTAATTTTTAGCCTGATAGGCAAACCCTAATGTGGAGTGCTACTTGGCCAAAAGAAGTAAGACAGCTTGCTGAAGATTTCCTGAAAGACTATATTCATATAAACATTGGTGCACTAGAACTCAGTGCAAATCACAACATTCTTCAGATTGTGGATGTGTGTCATGACGTAGAAAAGGATGAAAAGTAAGTGACTGACTCCGAAAACAATTTTACAAGTTGAGTCACTGTTTCACAAGTTACCTTAAAAGTGACTTTCAGTTGGGTGGAATCTAAATGCTAATTTGAAATCTGTCATGCTGAAAATTGTTTTGCTCCTTTCTTAACAGAGTATTGTTTTATGGCTTAAGGATAAAGGGTAGAACAGTTAAAAAGGTTAAGCAGATATTTTCTTTTTAACTTGTAGCCCTATGAGTAAAAGTTGGTGTCTTGCTCTTAACCATGAACTTTTTAAAATTCAGAATATTTTTTCTTTTAAGGCTTATTCGTCTAATGGAAGAGATCATGAGTGAAAAGGAGAATAAAACCATTGTTTTTGTTGAAACCAAAAGAAGATGTGATGAACTCACTAGAAAAATGAGGAGAGATGGGTATGTGTGGTTGTCCTCTACTACAGCAGGTATTAGAGTTCAGGAGAAGGGGCAAAGTTTAATCAGGGCTGATAGATCTGAGTTTCAAAGATGGAAATGATCTGGTAGTATACATGTATAGGAAAGACTGTGTATACCTTGTTTCAGGTGGACTTAAAAGGGTTTGTGACCAAAACGGTTAAAGCATATGGTTAAAATCTACAAGGTTTTAAATGCCAGTCTCTTAACGTAACTTTTCTTTACTTTAGGTGGCCTGCCATGGGTATCCATGGTGACAAGAGTCAACAGGAACGTGACTGGGTTCTAAATGGTAAGTATTTAAGTGCGGGGTCCCATGCCCACCCCCTACATTTAGAATACCGTTCATACTGATGGCTGTGTATGTGCCTTCTTTTGCAGAATTCAAACATGGAAAGGCTCCTATTCTGATTGCTACAGATGTGGCCTCCAGAGGGCTAGGTTAGTACAAACTCGCATTCATGGCTTGGTTTCCCAGAAGATACCCATATAATTTTTTTAAAGAAAGTTTATTGCTTTCTTTAACCTGCATTTTTTCTAAGTTTTTTTCATATAAAGGTGCAGTCTTTGTGGCAAGGCCTAGGCATGACAATCGGAGGACTCGAGGGGGATGGAGGACTAGTGATCGGCTGGCTGCTTCCAGTCGATTAGAGAGGTGAAAAGCTGAAAGTGTGCCAGTAATCTTCAAAAGGCAGAACATACCACCTCTGCCCCGTAAACTGTTCTCTCCGGGGGAAAAAAATGGAAGTTATCCTCACAGTTCACTGCCGTGGTATTTCTTCTGTCCCATGCTTTGCATGACTGCCATGGTACAGCATTGTTTCAAACTGTTTACTGTGATCTGTGGGTCTTTGAGTTTCAGTGAGTTTGCTGAAATGTCGAAGAAATATTTCCAAACTTCAATGTTCAATGAAATTTTTGTTCAAGTTTGAAATGGAGAGAGCAGCTTTAAAAGGTACTAAAAGCCTTTTACAAATTGGTGAGTACTGGCACATAAGATCTAGAGCAGGAGCAACTTCTCACACATAGTCAGTGGGAAAAAAAGCAGTGCTTTGAAAGTTCCTCCCTCACCTACACAGTAGTCGTCATGTCGAGACCTGCCAGAGAGAGACACATTCTCAAGTGAATCCTGGCTTCTTGGAAGCGCTTGCCTAGACGAGACACAGTGCATAAAAACAACTTTTGGGGGACAGGTATGTTTTTCTTGCAGCTGCGGTTGTAAGGTCTTGGCAAGACAAGCAGTGTGGCCAGAATTTTGAACTTCTGATAAGTGTGTAACACAAAGGACCATGTACATTTTTGTTGAAAGGTCCTCAAAATGAAAGCACACGAGGAGGTTGCTGTGAACTTTTAAGTGGCCCTACTGCGCAGAAGCATTCAGATGTCACTTGATGATCTGTAAGGGGACTTGCTAATTGGGGACTGTTAGGAAATACACACGTCCTTTTGACATGCTCCATCATTGGGTGGGTAATAAGGTATACAGATGACGTGTGCTTTTTTTTTTTTTTTTTCTTCCCCACTTTCAACCTCAATGGTATTCCTACAGGGAATGGATAACCATTTTAACTATTTTTTGCAGCCCATACCTTCTTGGGAATACAATTGTCTAACTTTTTATTTTTGGTCTGGCTGTTGTGGTGTGCAAAACCCTGTACATTGCTATTTTGCCACACTGCAACACCTTACAGATGTGGAAGATGTGAAATTTGTCATCAATTATGACTACCCTAACTCCTCAGAGGATTATATTCATCGAATTGGAAGAACTGCTCGCAGTACCAAAACAGGCACAGCATACACTTTCTTTACACCTAATAACATAAAGCAAGTGAGCGACCTTATCTCTGTGCTTCGTGAAGCTAATCAAGCAATTAATCCTAAGTTGCTTCAGTTGGTCGAAGACAGAGGTTCAGGTAAGACCAACCTTTGGTAAGTGTTGGTGGGTGTGGGGTCACATGATAGTCTATAAATCCATTTAGATAGGATTGGTGGGTGAGTGCAGAAAGAAGTTGAGAAAATACTTCTCAAATAGAGCTACCAAATTGTTTTCTGTGTTAGTAATGATTGGTTCCATGGAAATAACAATTTGGCAATTTTTTTCTCGACAGGTCGTTCCAGGGGTAGAGGAGGCATGAAGGATGACCGGCGGGACAGATACTCTGCGGGCAAAAGGGGTGGATTTAATACATTTAGAGACAGGGAGAATTATGACCGCGGTTACTCTAGTCTGCTTAAGAGAGATTTTGGGGCAAAAACTCAGAATGGTGTTTACAGTGCTGCGAATTACACCAATGGGAGCTTTGGAAGTAATTTTGTGTCTGCTGGTATACAGACCAGTTTTAGGACTGGTAATCCAACAGGGACTTACCAGAACGGTTATGATAGCACTCAGCAATATGGAAGTAACGTTCCAAATATGCACAATGGTATGAACCAACAGGCATATGCATATCCTGCTACTGCAGCTGCGCCTATGATTGGTTATCCGATGCCAACAGGATATTCTCAATAAGACTTTAGAAGTATATGTAAATGTCTGTTTTTCATAATTGCTCTTTATATTGTGTGTTATCAGACAAGATAGTTATTTAAGAAACATGGGAAATGCAGAAATGACTGCAGTGCAGCAGTAATTATGGTGCACTTTTTCGCTATTTAAGTTGGATATTTCTCTACATTCCTGAAACAATTTTTAGGTTTTTTTTGTACTAGAAAATGCAGGCAGTGTTTTCACAAAAGTAAATGTACAGTGATTTGAAATACAATAAATGAAGGCAATGCATGGCCTTCCAATAAAAAATATTTGAAGACTGAATTAAGTGGAAATGGTACTTTATTTTACATATATAATGTCATGTAAAACTTTGCTTAGACGGTCTTTTTTTTTTTAATCATAAAACTAAAATTGACTCCTCTTTTCTATAATTTCATTTTGGGAAGTGGGGAGATCAGAAGGCCCTTTTTAGTGATCTATTCCTATTCCAAGGATTAAAATGCAATTGATTTAGATTGATTAGCAGTTAACAGGCTAAATTGCATAAAGGCTTTCTTTTGGTGCCTCCCCAAATCAGGTGAGTTATTTAAATAGTCTTAGAATGGTGAAAGGAGATACTAAAACAGGAAACACGTGTATAGCCCCACCCTTAGACTGCTTAGTGAGAACATGGAGGACTGATTCTTTTGCAAATTTTTAATTTGGAAAAAGTCTTCAAATAACTTTTTGATAGATGATATTTGTGCTCCTCGCTGTATTATTACTGAGGCTGAGAGACTACACCCTTAAAAGATGGTTGGCCACAAGCTAAGATTGAATTTATTTTCTGTGTTCTGTGCCAGGTGTAGTACAGAAAGGCTAGTCTTCATAGGCCTCCTGGGGCTCTTAACTGGTCAAACTAGGAGTCATGAATGTCCAGGGAGCTCTGGAGGACTTCAAAATGTTAAAGAGGATGAAAGAAATCCTCGAATTTAATGGTTAAGCTAGAGGAAGCCACATTACCCAAAGCACAGGTCCTTTTGTTAGGGTCAACATGGGTTTATTGCTAAAAAGATCTGGTGGGGTAGCTTTAGGTTTAACTGTCTCACCAAGCTTAATACTTCACTTGAATGTCTTCTCATGTTTGCAAGGAAAGGATAGGCTTTTATGAGACTTCATTTAAATTATGGTTATTGAGGCTTTAATTGGTGTTAATGCCTTACCTCTAAAATGTAAAACAAACGAATTTTCCAGGGACAAGACAAGGAATGGTATTTTTAGGACTGACATTGAAAACTGATTGACCCTCTAGTAATTTAACAGTTTTCAATAGCATAAGTCATTCATTATGACTTAAAAGCTTTTGGGGGTAGGTTGGAGTATTTACGTATTATGCTGTTTAATGTCTAACGTGGGCCTTTTAATTTGTAAACTGGAATGATTGTGGGGCTGTAGAAAACAAACTATTTACCTTTGAAGTAAGTTTTAAAAGACAGTCCACTTTTTAGCATGTGTGTTGTGTCCAGCCTGTGGTTGTCTTAATAAATGTGATTTTTCTCCCCATTCTCTCTTTTATTTATTTGCGTTGTAGGCCTCGTGTGTTTTCTGGGAGTGGAAAACACATGTTAATATTGCCCAACTTTGCTGTTAATATAATTGCTTTTCATATATACTGTTTGACTTACACAGACATGTTCTTGTATAGAACAGTTTTCTGAACCTGTTACAGGTTAACTTAACGTGATGAATTTTCACTGTTCCTGTGTTCTCAACTCAGTTGCTAGACTGTACTTTTCATAAACTGCCTTTTCCTGGTATTCTAGTAGAATACAGTAGTTTGTTCTTCCACCTGGGTTAGTCGTCTTAGCCACTTATAGCAAAGTCCGAAGTAGGACTATCATGCTTTTTGAAATCGACCGTTTTCTTTCATCTGGGCTGTATCACTTTCCCACTATTTGGGCAGTTTTTTAAGGGGTTGTGTTTTTTAAACGGAAATGTGAAGTTCCAAGTATGTTCTGGAAGGGCTTTAAGAAGGGCCCTCTGTAGAACAACTTAAGTGTACACCAGTGCTTGGTTGTCTAGTGCCTGCACATTAACCTGGAGAGTTTTTAATACTACTGGGCCACTGTCAGTTTTTAAATGTTTCCAGGTGATGGGTACAAGTGGCCAAGGGCTTCCAGCCAGGAGAAGGCAGGGAGGATGGCGACAGCATTTTTAGTAGAGATGCATGAGAGGCCTGGGTGTCAACATTTAGGGCTACAACCTTAAAAAAACTAACACTACGTTGAGAATGCAAATTACCATTTAAATGAGAAGGTGTTTAAACGGAAACTTGCAGAACACCTAAGTATTTTGGCAAAAGCAAATAGGAAAGTAAAGCTGATTCTACTGGCAACAGCGGGGTAGTAAAAAGCAGATGGCAGTGATCTTTCGGTGCTGAGGACGGATTAAAAGAACAGCAGTCTGAAGGACGTAGACCTTGAGGAAAGGAATCCTGCATTCGTCTGGACGGAAGGGACGGGGCGGTGGCGGCCGGAACGCAGTGACGTACTTCCGTGGGAGGGGCCGGTCCCAGCTCACGCTCACTTCCGTCGGACCTGCGCAGTTGGACCCCCGGGCTAGCACTGTTGTGGTGGTTTTTTGGGAATTGCCAGTTACTAGAAGACTCTGCTCTTTAACACCCGAGGGCGATGCGCTCTGCTCCAGCCATCAGAGCCTGCCAGAGAGCCTGCCGGTGCCTCTTGTCTGGGTTTGGGGGTCAAGTAGACGGGAGGCAGCCGGAGCAGTTGTCGGAAGGGACCAGCTCCTTCGTAGGGCCCGTGAGGTCGCAAGTGGAGCTACCCCGAAACGAGCCGAGAGAAGCCCCCGAGTCTGGTGGTGAGGGGAGCGAGGAGCTGGTAGAGATCTGTCAGAAGAGACGTTTCCTCAGTGGCACCAAGCAGCAGCTTAGCCGAGGTTCTCTTCTAAACGGATGCCACCCCGGCCTTGGCCCCTTGGGCACAGAGTTGCGGAAGAACCTGGCGGCCGAATGGTGGTCCTCGGTGGTGGTGTTCAGGGAGCAGGTCTTCCCGGTAGACGCCCTCCATCGTGAACCAGCTCCTTCGCTGCCCGTGGACAGTGGCTTCAGGTTAGTTTCTGCAGAAACGCTGCGCGAGATCTTGCAAGACAAAGAGCTGAGTAAGGAACAGCTAGTAGCATTTCTTGAGAACTTACTAAACACTTCTGGGAAACTACGGGAGAACCTTCTTCACGGTATGCTTCACGATTTCATGCTTCAAAATAGGTGTCGGGGTGGAAAGGCAATCTCGCTCGATTTCACGAATTGCAACTGGCCCTTTAGTCACGTGGAAAGGAAATTACCTGGATCTGTTTTCTTGACGTAGTTGGGTTTATTGACAGTCTTGCTACCTTGGAGACAACTGGTTCATGGGATCGTTATTGGTTCCTAAAGAATCTGGTTCAAGGATCGAGTAAAGCTGTCAGTTTCCCAAGGAAACCCTAGTATTTTGGGGTTCAATTGAGTAGTCCTAGAATTAGGACCTAAGTTAAATCGCGTGTTTGAATCATTGGTTCATTGTTACTAAAATACTAACAAGTATTTCCACAGTTACTCTTCTTTCTTTCTTTTTTGTTTCTAAACACACAAAAGATTTATTAAGAGCTCGTTTTGGGATTTCCCCTGGTGGTCCAGTGGTTAAGACTCCAGGCTTCTAGTGCAAGGGTGTGGCTTTGATCCCGGGTCAGGGAACTAAGATCCCATATGCCTCATAACCAAATTTTTTTAAAAAAGAGCTCGTTTTTCCAGAGTAACAAGAAAATGCCCTCCCTCAGTTTTTCTTACGAAAACTTATCTGCATAATCTGCTTGAAGAGCCCTTAAGGTAATTTTTGAATTGGCAGAATAATAGGACTGATCAAGTTTCATAAGTGATTCTTTAGTGAATACACAGAACTTAGTAGGGCATGGTATACCTTTAAAATTAAATAGTACCTGATAGTAGAGATCCGGGGCGGGGGATCAGATTTTTTTTTTAATAGGACAGACTTGGCTGCCACAGCATCTCATCTTTGCAACATGTTATCCTTGCCATTTTTTTTATTAAGCGGTACTAGGAAGTAATTTGAAATAACCAATGTCCATGGTCTCTGAAAATTAGTACCTATATTATAGCCTTTTAAAGATTTCCTTAATAAAATAAGACAAACTTAAATTGTTGAGTAAATGTGACAATTTTGATTTGAACTACTTTAATTATTCATGATGGTTTTACTTTGGGGAAGTTAAATCACTTTTCATTACTATGTCCCAAAACAAATCAATTTTTTCTTTCCCATGAGAAAATGAAACGTAGCTGTCTTAGATTCATCAAAGTATTTATTGATGAGCCAGACATTCTCTTTAAGAAACTTAAATCCATGCACTTGCCTAATCTTTTGGTTGTCTAGTGCTTCTAGCTTTCAAGTACCAGTTTGCCATTTCTTTCTATGCCCCATGCCCGTGCCTTCTTTATTTCATGTCTGAACTATTGTGGTAGCCTCTGTGTATGAATACTTTGGCCACCTGATGCGAAGAGCTGACTCATTTGAAAAGACCCTGATGCTGGGAAAGATTGAAGGAGAGAGGAGAATGGGACGACAGAGGATAAGATGGTTGGATGACATCACCGACTCAATGGACATGAGTTTGAGTAAACTGCGGGAGTTGGTGATGGACATGGAGGCCTGGCGTGCTGCAGTCCATGAGGTCGCAAAGCGTCGGACACGACTGAGGGACTGAACTGAATTGATCTAAGTATGAATGGTTTTTAAAAATTCTCAGCCATTATATCTCCAAAGAGCGCTACTGCCCTATTCTCTTCTGTCCTGTGATTAATTACACATATGTTAGACTTCCCCCATCTTGTTAACAACTTTCTTGAACACACTGATCACATTTTAAAGTCTGGTCTGATAACTCAGTTATGTCTGTTTCTAGTATCTGTGTTACTCTGGACTTTAGTTCATTTGGACTTTTCTCTTGATTTTCTAAGTAATTTGTGTGTTAATTATAGAGATAAATTGAGACTCTGGGTGATGTTTTCGTCTATCTGTGGGCTAGCAGGTGGTGATTAGTTTTGCTTTGGGCAGGCAGTTAGGGCATATTTATCCGGAAAGTTCATTGACAGCTTCGTTTTCACTTTACCCCTGGAAGGCAACCCTTTAGGTGTCCCTAGTGAAAGGCTGGGGTGTTGCCAGGGCCTCTCTTTCTTATGACCTTTGGACTACAATTTTTATACTTAGCAGCCCCATACGATGTCAGTGTTTCAGCTTCTCAGCTCTGCTACTTCAGATTGGAAAAGCAACACTAAATGTTGCATTCACCTCTCTGCTGTTCCTTTTTTTCCAGATCTTGGACCCTCAGTCCTTACTGCCTTGATAGCTCTCGTGTCATTTTTTAAAGTTTCTTGGCCAAGCTTTTCTTGTCAACAAGCTTGCCAGTTATTACAGGAAGTGGAAATCTCAAGTAACTGTTGAACACAGTGTTATCATTTAGTGGGATATAATCTAAGTGTAAGAAATCTTGAACTTTGATTTATTCTAAGTAGAAATGTTGGAATTATAGTTCTGCAACTATTTTGCATATATTTTGTGCATGCCTGCTCAGTTGTGTCCAACTCTGAGCAAATAGACCCATGGATAGATATATTAGGAACCAAGATTTTCACTGTAAGAAAAAAGATACAAAGCAGATAAGGATAAACTTTGTAATATTAAATTTGAATTGACTATCAGTATGAACTTATTTTAAAAATACATATTTCCTAGCTTTCTTCATTGAAAAGTCCTAGAAACGATGACAATAGCAATGAGCACACCTAGAATCAAGTTTCTAAAAGGAACCAGTACTTGGAGAAATGGCTCATTCCAGGTCTGGGGCAGGGACAATATAAGGTGACTTTGGGACAGTTTATGGTGCTAGAAAGCAAAAAATTACTAGAAGACTAAGTGTTGTTGTTCAGTCGCTAAGTTGTGTCCGACTCTTTGCGACCCCATGGACTGCAGTGCACCAGGCTTCCCTGTCCTCCTCTGTCTCCCAGAATTTGCTTAGATTCATGTCCATTGAGTCAGTGATGCCATCCCACTATCTCACCATCCCCTTCTTCTTTTCCAGCATCAGGGTCTTTTTTATTGAGTCGGCTCTTCCCATCAGGTGGCCAAAGTATTGGAGCTTCGGCATCAGTCCTTCCAATGAATATTTAGGGTTGATTTCCTTTAGGGTTGACTGCTCTGATCTCCTTGCAGTCCAAGGGGCTCTCAAGAGTCTTCTCCAGCACCACAATCCAAAAGCATCAATTCTTTGGCACTCAGCCTTCTTTATGGTCCAACTCTGACATGCATACATGACTGCTGGAAAAACCATAGCTTTGACTATACTATACAGAACTTTGTTGGCAAAGTGATGTCTCTGCTTTTTAATACACTGTCTAGGTATGTCATAGCTTTCCTTCCAAGGAGCAGGAGTGGGTTTATGTTAAAAGGACGTAGATGCTGGCTTGAAGGAGATTCCCACTGGCTAAGTTTGGGACAAATTGAATATTAAAATAAATATTGATGGTAATGGATGAGAGCACATTAAATAAAAATCTAATCCACAGTTAATGAAAAAAATTAGTAATTAAGGCTCTTGGTAGAAAGAGGAGTTGAAGAGAGTTTGTTTTAATAGGAGCTGTGAAATAAGTATAGAAGGAATGCTAGAATAGAAAAACTACCTTTGTAATCCTTGATGTAATAATTCAAGCAGGGGTCATCAGTAAATTCTAAAAGATTGGGTGGAAGATTTTTGGGGAAGATAGTGGGGAATGGATATTCACTGCCTTAACTAGTTAATCTAAATCTGGTTTCATTAGAAATGGGGTCATTTGATACTAGGTTCCTCCTAATAGGATTCCATAAGACATAACATAACAACTATGTAGAATTCTTGCTAAAAATGATTAACCCAAATTAAATCATAAGGGAACATTCAGACAAGTCTAATTTGAGATTAATCTGTGACTGGCCTGTACTCAAATCAAAAGTCATTGTTATTAAAAGCAAAGTCAGAGAAATAGTCTAGATTTAGAGTGATTTAAGAAATCTAATCAAAATGCAGAGCATTAACCTTAATTAGGGAGAAAAAGACAGTAATAAATGGCATTTGGGGTGACAGAAAATAGAATATTGATCATATGTTAGATGAAATCATAATATGATTAATGGTGTGATAAAGGTGTACAGTGAATATTTTTAATTTTAGGAGGTGCCTGTTGAAATGTTTTGTGATGAACAAGAAAAAGAAATGTGCAAAATGTTTACAGTTGGTGAATCTAGGTGAAGGATTTACAGATGTTTATTGTACTATTCTTTCAACTTTCTTGTAAATTTGAAAATCTTCAAACTAAAAAGTTGGAGAGCACTACTTGAAATTAAGTGGTAATCAACTAAGATCTACTTTAGCTCCATGTTACTATACTTACTGCTGTGTTAGCATTATATTATTAATTTGTCTATAAATTGACTGAAATGATTGGGTTTATAAAACAGATTTATACAATGATTGATTTATTTTTTAACAGGTGCCTTGGAGCACTATGTTAGTTACCTGGATCTGATAAACAAGAGGCTACCTTTTGGCCTTGCTCAGATTGGAGTGTGTTTTCACCCTGTTTCTGATACTAAGCAGACGCCTGATGGTGTTAAAAGGTACACAGAAAATGGCAAATATCTTGGCCTTGTTTTTAAACAGTCACTTTCACTTTGGGATAGATTATATGATTTTCAAATAAATGATTATCTTATATTTCTGATATCCAAAGAATCGGTGAAAAGACTGAAGCTTCTCTGGTATGGTTTACTTCAGCAAGAACTGCAAGCCAGTGGCTTGATTTCTGGTTACGTCATCGACTCCTATGGTGGAGAAAGGTACTACAATAATTAACCTTTAATTTAATAATGAATAGACAAATTGTCTAAGTAAGAAGTAATACTTCTCTATAATAAATGAAACTTTATTTGATGTAGCTATGTTATATTTATGAGACAGCTATAAAAATTAACAAGTACATATTAAAAAAACTTTGTAGTGATTTTCATTATTCTGTAAGACAAAGTTCCTTTGGTAAAGTATTTGTTGATGTTTTGGTCAGAAACTTTTGCTGGTAAGACTTTAACAAAATAAAGCTCAAATTATCTTACCTGGCATTCCTGACTGGCATAGAGACCTGGCATTCCTGACTGGCATAGAGTTTGACCCTTTCCCACTCTTAGAGCTTTAGCTTTTCCTCCCAACCTCCATGAACTCTCCATATTAGTCAAATGGTCCTGTAATTTACAGTCAGGTTTCAAGGTAAGCCTAAGAGAGAAAAGCTGAAGTAAGCATTTTTGTCTTGCCGTTGTCTTATTACTCTAACTCTCAGAATCTCCAAATACTCACCTAAACTAAATGAAATTATCACAAATACTCAGGCTGTTTATGGAAGGATGAGAATGGTATGTGATACTTTTTTCTGTATCTAAGTTCATGGTTCCTTCCCTTCTTTTTAATTGACCACAGAAAGGCTAGATAGCATCCACAGTTACTCTGTAATTCTTTCAGATTAAAAAACAGTATTTTTAGCAGTATATACACTCATATTTAATTAAACTTAACAGTTCTTATATGGAACTTGACCCATTTCATTCAGTTGCTGTAGGCAACTTTACTTTTAATGTTTATTTTAATAAGTTAATAAGACAAACTTTCCTTTCCAGTTTGCTGTGAGTCCATCTAACTTCAGCAGTGGAGATTGTCAGGATGAAGCAGGCCGAAAAGGAAACAAACTTTACTACAATTTTCCCTGGGGAAAGGAGCCAATAGAAACCCTGTGGAATCTAGGAGATCATGAACTTTTACAAACGTATCCTGGAAGTGTGGCTCAATTGCACGTATGTTTTCCCTTGTGCTCCTGTGTCTCTACCCAGATTCTCTCACCATGAACATTTTTAAGATGTACTTTGTAAAAAAACCGCTGACTTGTACATTTTAATATTTTTTTAATCTTATTTATTAATTTTCGGCTGTGACAGGTCTTAGTTGTGGTGCACAGACTTAGTTCCCCCATGGTGTGTGGCATCTTAGTCCCCTGCATTAGAAGGCAGATTCTTAACCACTGGACTACCCTGTGATCATTTCTGAACCATTTGAGAATTAACTGTAGGCATGGTGGCTGGCCCAAGACTTCTTAATACGTTAGTATACATTTCTCAAGTATCACAAGGACTCACCTATATAACTGCCGTGCAGTCATTATGATCAGGAAAGTAACGGTAATCTGCTATTACTGCCAAATCCACAGAACCCTTCAAATGTGACCAGTTATTCCAGTCTGCCCTTTATAGGTCCAGGATCCAATCTAGGATCTTGTATTTCAAGTAGTTGTCATGTGTTCTTGCTGCTGCTACTGCTGCTAAGTCGCTTCAGTCATATCTGACTCTGTGTGACCCCATAGACGGCAGCCCACCAGGCTCCGCCGTCCCTGGGATTCTCTAGGCAAGAACACTGGAGTGGGTTGCCATTTTCTTCTCCAATGCATGAAAGTGAAAAGTGAAAGTGAAGTCGCTCAGTCGTGTCCGACTCTTCGAGATGCCATGGATTGCAGCCTACCAGGCTCCTCCGTCCATGGGATTTTCCAGGCAAGAGTACTGGAGTGGGGTGCCATTGCCTTCTCCGGTCGTGTGTTCTTAGTCCCCTTCAGATGAACAATTTCTTTTGTCTTTCCTTGTCTTTCATGACCTTGACATTTTTGAAGAGTACAGGCCAGTTGCTCTGTAGAACGTCCCCTGGTTGGAGTTTCCTTCATGTGTTTTTTGCTAGGCATCCCACAGCAATGGTGCTACCCTATCCTCAGGGCATCATGTCAGGAGGCATGTGATAGCGGTTTGTTACTGGTGATAGTAACTTTTATCACTTGATTAAGATGATCCTACCAGGTTTCTCCATTGTAAAGCTGATAAGTATTTTGAGGTTATTCATTGACAAGTAATTAATAAGTCTTTTGTGGGCAGATACTTTATGTAAAAATAACCTGTTTCTCACCAAATTTTGACCTGCTGGTGTTACAGCATTGTTCTTGCCCAAATCAGTGATTACTGTGAGGGTTGCCAAAATGATAACTTTTAAATTTTTTTAATCATTCTGTATAGATTGATTGATCAGTTTGTATTCTGATTCTGTAAGTCTAAATTATGATTTTAGGAGGTATTATTCTGCTGAATAATGCTTTATTTTTGTTGTACTTTTCTGTTGAGGGCCGAGACGGGCGGAAGAACGTGGTTCCTTCTGTTTTATCTATAAATGGAGATCTAGATCGAGGCATGCTGGCCTACCTCTATGATTCTTTCCAGCTAACAGAGAACTCCTTTACAAGAAAGAAAGATCTTCATAGAAAGGTACTTTGATATTTCAGAGACAGCCTTGGGAAGTTAAAAATACAGGTTTCTCCCCTCTTTTTTGTTAGCGTACTTGGTTTCTAACATAAGCTCTGAATAATTATTTTTTTAGTGCAAGTATTTGAAATATTTTTCAGGTTTCTTAGAGAATGTGGCCACAGGAATAATAAGCAGGTTCTTGCAGAATTAGAACCAGGAATCCCTACTGGGTAACCCCAAAGGCATTTCTGTTTGATCTTGGGCAGCTAGACAGCTCTCTCTGACTCTCAGCCCCTGAGCCTTTTCACTGATGGCAGAAGCAGAATGCGAAATAGGAATAAGACAGGCCAGCCAGACTTGTGGTATTGACCTCTCAGCTTCTGGTCTGACCCCAAGTGGCTGGTTACTGGATCACAGGAGCAAGCCATGGGTCTGAGTTAAGGGAACGGCTTATTTTAGGATGTGCAGTTTTCGCATTCTTACGGGCTCAAAATCGAGAGAGACAGGAGGGGTTGCACCTGTAGGAGAAAAATGAAATGCCTAGTGGAGCAAAATTTTGGAAGAAACAAGAAGGATTAAGACAGAATTAAGAATACATGTTGGGGAGGGGGTTGTCTTGAAAGGGTTACTTTAAATAGCAGGAGGAAAAACAATAGTATAGATATAAATAGGCAGCCAGGGCTGTTTGGCCCTTGAAGGAAGCTTTACTCACATCCTTTGTTTTCTTGGGGAATTCAGAAGCAAGATTGTTAGCTTAAAGTGTGGAGGAGTAGGGGTTTAAGTGGCAAGAGTTTAGAGTAGTCCTATTCCCCTCAACTGTGACAGGGAGCTGCTCCAAATCAAAAGTTTTAATATGTTGAGTGCTCACCTGGCGTCAGACACCAAAAGCTTGTAGCTCCACTCTGCACAGCTAGTGATTTATTATGCAGTGTTCATTTAGTCTGATGTGGCCCTTCTGGGAGTTGGGATTTATGGGGCATGTGTGGCAAACAAACAAGGGATATCCCTTCTTTCTCTTATACCCCACTTCCAAACCATCAGCAAAACCTCTTTGACTCTGTCTCCAACATATATCCTGAATCCGACCTTTTCTTACCACGTCCCCTGCTTGAATTCTGCTCTAAGCCACCATCATCCCCACCTCTCTGCACCAAGTGGCCCTTTTGAACAGTACATGTTACTCAGCTCTTCTGCTTTAAGCCCTCCAGTAAGCTCCTCTTCTTACTCAGGGGAAAAGCTCAAGCCCCTTAAAATGTTTTACAAAACGTTTTTCTTTTTGACCTCCAACTCGTCTCCACGGTACTCAGTCTGCTTGAGCAGTACAGACATCATTGTTGTTTCTAGAACTTGCCAGGTGTCCCCCAGAGTCATGTCATTAGTTCTTCCCGTTGTCTGAGTGCTCTTCCTCCAAACACACAAGTCTTGCCCCTCAATCCACTTTCAAGTCTTTGCTCAAATGTCACCTCAGAGATGAAACTTTGTCTTATCACCTTATTTAAAATTTCAAACAGCCCTCCCCTAGCCCACCCCTTGTCAACACATATCTTCTTTCTTTCTTTTTTTTCCTCAAACACTTACTACCTTCAAATATAGAGCTTCCCTGGTAGCTCAGACGGTAAAGCGTCTGCCTGCATGCGAGAGACCTGGGTTCGCTACCTGGGTTGGGAAGATCCCCTGGAAAAGGAAATGGCAGCCCACTCCAGTACACTTGCCTGGAAAATCCCATGGACAGAGGAGCCCTGTAGCCTGCAGTCCATGGGGTCACAAAGAGTCGGACACGACTGAGTGACTTCACTTTCTTTTCCTTTCCTACCTTCAAATATATTACTTTCTTATTTTGTTATCTTCTCCCCATTGTGAGGGACAGGGATTTTTGTCCCCACCACCTAGAACTGTTTCTTGAGCCAAGTGTTGAATGGCTGAATGAATGTGTAGAGTGATGGGTTTTGGCAGGAGAAAGTGCAAGTGATAAGGCACATGGCACAGGCTGGGTAGTGAAGGCAGTGATTCCAGAAAGGGCATTTTGACTGAGGGAAAATGGAGTTGTCAGAAGAGGAGAGGATCAAGTGAATGTATTTCTGTTTAATGCCTAAGTGGAGAAATCTATGGCATCTGAATGCAGATGACTGATGCATCTTTACATGACTTTTTATGACCTCATCAGGCTTCCATTTTCACACAGAAAATTTCAACTGTTTAAGAAGCCTCATGTTTGTCAGTGCTTGTCCTTTTTATCCCTGCTCTTTAAATTGTTTTAGGTGCTTAAACTTCATCCTTGTTTGGCCCCCATTAAAGTTGCTTTGGATGTGGGACGAGGCCCAACAGTGGAACTAAGACAGGTGAGTTAAATAAGCTTTAATGTCTTATTTCAACTATAACTTTTATTCCAAGTAAGTGAATAGTTTGCCATCTAAGTTTTATTTTATTCATTAAAATTTTTTTAAACTAAATAATGAACTGTGGATAAATACTGTGATTAATGCAATTTGAAATATAGCATACTAAAGAAACTGAATACACTTTCGTGGATTTTGCTGTTAATGTCATGCTTAGTCGTAATTGCATTTTTTTAATGAGTATGCATAATTTTGGGGATCAAAATATTTGTACAGAAGTCTAATGAATAATTTCTTACCTCTTCTCTTTTTAACACTTTTTTTTTAAATTGGAGGATAATTGCTTTACAATGTTGTAACATACAACAACTCGAATCAGCCATAATTATATGCATATCCCCCTGCTCTTGAACCTCCCTCCACTTTCCCATCCCACCCCTCTAGACCATCACAGAGCCCCAGGTTGGGCTCTTGTGTTATATAGCAGCTTCCCGCTAGCTAGCTATTTTACACAGGATAGTGTTATATATGGGCTTCCCTGGTAGCTCAGCTGGTAAAGACTCCACCTGTAATACAAGAGACCCTGGTTCGATTCCTGGGTCGGGAAGATCCCCTGGAGAAGGGATAGGCTGCCCACTCCAGCATTCTTGGGCTTCCCTGGTGGCTCAGATGGTAAAGAATCTGCCTGCAGTGTGGGAGACCTGGGTTCGATCCCTGGGTTGGGAAGATCCCTGGAGGAGGGCATGGCAGCCCACGCCAGTGTTCTTGCTGGAGAATCCTGTGGACAGAGGAGCCTGGCGGGCTACGGTCCACGGGGTCTCAAAGAATTGGACACGGCTGGGTGACTCAGCACAGCACAGTGTCATATATGTCAGTGCTACTTTCTCAGTTGGTCCTACTCTTGCCTTCCCTCACTGTGTCCACAAGTCTGTTCTCTCTATCTGCATCTCCGTTCCTTCCCTGCAAATAGGTTCATCAGTGCTATTTTCCTAGATTCCATATGTATGCATTAACACACAATATTTGTTTTTCTGACTTCACTCTGTATAACAGGCTCTAGGTTCATCCACCTCACTAGAACTGACTCAAATCCACTCCTTTTTATGGCTGAATAATATTCCATTGTGTATATGTACCACATCTTCTCTATCCATTCATCTGTCAGTGGACATCTAGGTTGCTTCCATGCCCTAGCTTTTGTAAATAGTGCTGCAATGAACATTGAGTTACATGTGTCTTTGAATTGTGGTTTTCTCAGGGTATACCCCCAGTAGTGGGACTGCTGGGTCATATGGTAGTTTTATAAGGAATCTCCATACTGTTCTCCATAGTGGCTGTATCAGTTCACAGTCTCAGCAACAGTACAAGAGGGTTGCCTTTTCTCCCTGTCCTCTCCAGCCTTTATTGTTTGTAGATCTTTTTGAATATGGCCATTCTGACTGGAGTGAGGTGATATCTCATTGTAGTTTCGATTTGCATTTCTCTAATACTGAACAATGTTAAGCATCTTTTCATGTGTTTATTGGCCAACTTAACATTTTGATACTTGTTGGTATCAGCACAAGCTCTAGATTTGCAATCTTATTTTATTTTTCTAATATATCTGGTCAAATTAAAAACTCTTTAAAAAAGCCAAGGCCCCTTCAGCAGTCATTTCTGTCTGGGTGACTCAGACCATCCGGGACTGAGGACTCTTGAAAGATTATCGGGCTTTCTCAAGCTCTTGGGGAGGGTCTGGAAAGGTGGTGATAATGACCTCAGGGAAAGGGAAAGAGAATGGCTTGATTTCCATATTTGTCCCCAGGATTGAGGAAGACTTCCCAAACACCCCAGGAGGTTCTGAGTTCTTAGGGAGGTTTTTTTTTTTTTTTTTTTTTGCTTAAAGGACAAAGAAGAACTCTGCCTCTTAGATTTTCATTATTACCATTGCAGGCCCTTTTCTGTTTTGTTTTTAAGAATAATAATATTACTTTGTGCCTCGGGTGTTTTACCAAACAAATAGTATCGTGTTCTGTTTTTAGTTTTTTTTCCTCAGCTTTATGACAGAGAGAATCCTCATGCCTGTAACTTTCGGGACTATGGAAGAGGTTTTGTGGGTTATTTTTACAGGGATCAGATTCTGGGATAAAATGAACATGTAGCCTTGATTTCACTATATCAGTTAGATTGCTTTCCAAACTGGCTGTGCCTGTTTGTGGACTCGTCTGTGGCGTGAGGACTCTCATTTCCCCATGTCTGCACCTGGGCTTAATCATGCTGAGAGCTTTTTCTTTCCTTTTCCACCTTCTGTTAGGAAGAGGTCATTTTCTGCTGGCAACCACTAACTTACTAAAATTCATATTAGCCTTTTTCCTGTTACTTTCTAAGATTTATTAATATCTATATTTTCATTTGTCCCCAAAATACTATGTACCTTAATACCCACTTTGCTCTGGTCTTTCCCTGGGAGCTTGCTAGAAATGCAAATTCTTGCCAAACCTGCCAAATCAGAAACTGGGGTGAGGCTGAGCCGTCTGTGTTTTGCAAGCCCTCCAGGTGTTACTGAGCTAAAGTTTGAGACTTGGTGCTGTAGCGCAAGCACTGCTCTCACGTGCCCCTTCCAGTCACCATTACCCTCCCCTCCCCACCAGGGACATTTGGTAAAGTTTGGGGACAGTTTCGGTTGTCACAAGGTCAGGAAGAGTGCTCCGGCATCTGATGAAAGCCAGGGATACTGCTAAACATCCTGTGTCAGCAGCACCAATGAGGAAAATCTCGCTTTAGGGTTTTTAGTTCTGGATTGTTACAAGCATTTTAAAATTTTCTTTCTTTCTTTCTTTCTTTTTTTTTTTTTTTTGCATCACCATTTTTAAGAAAACCGTAAACTGTCATTTACTCATTATTATTTCTGTATTTTCCATTAGACTTTTGTCTCCAGCATTCCACTGATGCTAATCAATCATTCTCTGTTCCTGAAACATTTTCTTTAGTTGGCTTCAGGAATACCACTTTCCTAGTTTTCTTCATCCTTTTCTGGCTTCTTCTTACTTTTCTTTGATGTCTCTTCTCTTCAGTCTTCAAGTTTCAGATGAGTTAACATAACCCTTTGGACTTAACTGCTTTTTTTCTGGTAGAATCTGTTTTGCTTTTGTGTTTTGAGTGATGATAATAATAAAAATTCTAATATTTAATATAAAAATCTCAGATTTGCATTTAGTATTCATGGCTCAGACTGTAAAGAGTCTACCTGCAATGTAGGAGACCTGGGTTCGATCCCTGGGTTGGGAAGATCCCTGGGGAAGGGAATGGCCACTCCCTCCAGCATTCTTGCCTGGAGAACTCCATGGACAGAGAAGCCTGGCTGGCTATGGTCCATGCAGTCTCAAAGAGTTGGACACGACTAAACAACTAACACGCTTTGCAGTGTTTAAGTTCTTAAGAAATATACAGTTTATAAGTACAACAATATTATGTAATTAAAGGGATTTATGCCCATTTTAAAGATTGAAAAAGATGGTTGGTGGTTTCATAAAATTAGGGTAATACTTCTAGCTACTTTTCTCTGTTTCATATTCAAAGTTTTTGTATTTTTCCTCAGGTTTGTCAAGGGCTGTTTAATGAATTACTAGAGAATGGAATTTCTGTGTGGCCTGGTTATTTGGAAACCGTGCAATCTTCACTGGAACAACTTTATTCAAAGTGAGAATTATCTTTTTGGTTGCTAAAAAAAATTGTATTTATTCCGAGTTTTTGATTATCTGATGTTTCTTTACTTTATGAGTAACAAACCTCTTCTGAAAATGTATATATAATGTAATTTAAAATTATTCCTAACTATTCTGTTTACAGAACCACATACCCTTAGTTAATTGCTACAGCAGGAAACAATACTCAGGTATATTTAACCATGTGCTACGTGAAACCTCAAGACTCCTACCATGAAGTATGTGTCCCTGAGGTTTTCAGTTTATCAGGAATGGAATTACTCCTAATAGATGCAGTTGTTGAATGAGGACTGTGGGAACCTGAGTGGAGTTCCTTTTTCTTGCTGGTTCTTAGGTTTTATTCTCAGGCTGAGTGGAAGGTAATTTCATTCCAGAGAACAGAGAACTGGTTTTCTCAGTTGATTGGTGCCTCTGTTGACCTGATTACTTAAGACTGAAACCTGGATATTGTCCTTCACGCCTCCCTCTTCTTACTGTCCGCACCCAGTCCATCCCTGACTCTTGTCTTCCTCCTAAATGTGTCTCACGTCCACATCTCCCCATCTTCACTGCTCCTACTCAAGTTAAGGTTACTAGTATCTCTTGGCTGAATTATTGAACTAATCTCCTAATCGATCTCCCTGTCTCTAGTCTTAGCTTTGCTATTTCCAATGACTTCTGTTTTTCAATAAAACAGTTCATTCCCCTTACTTTGGGTTTATTTTGTTATTTTTTTAGCTTTCTGTGACAAATACATATCTTTTAGGTGATAAGTTGTGAAGCTTAGTGTCTTGTTCCTCAGTTCTCTAGTAACTTGTTAAATATACCTTTCAGGTGATGTCAGAAGTAAAACAGGTTTCTATAGATAGAACATCTGATGGTTTTATCATAAAATGAAGTAGTAGTACTTGAACCTTCCAATGTTCTCAGATCTACCCTTTGAGTCTTAAGGACACTATCAAGTTACATTTGTTCTTTACATAGTAAAGGCTTTATGTCCCAGGATATTTATTTTCTTTGTCCCAGAATATGTCCATCCAGATATATATTAAGCACCTACTATATTTTATGTACTTTGATACAACAAACAAGAGAGCACAGTTTCCTGTTCTTGTGATGCTTATATTGTAGTGGGCTAGAGTAGACAATAGACAAGTAAGTAGATAAATAAGATAATTTCTGGTGGAGTCCTACAAAGAAGAGAAATATTAATGACCTAGTGTGTGACTGGGTAAGCAAAAAGAAGGCCAGTGTGGAATATATTCAGTTATTGCTAAACTAGAAACTGTAAGTTAGCATACTAAGTTATATATTAAACATGGGTTTTGGTATCATTTGTTGTGCACTGGATCTTAATATTATAGTAGTCATGTAAGAGAGTTGGGTCTAAAATAATTTTCTTGGATTGTAGCCACATACCAAAAGCCGAGGTTATTCTGAAGTTCATACATAATATACCAAATGATGTGTTGAGATGTCAATATTTCTTTCTTCTTCTTTTTTTAATGACTGTTTATTTCTTATGTTTTATTTTCTTTTATGGCTTCCAAGCTATTACAAGAAGTCAGAAATTTTCTGAAGATTTTACTTTGAAAATGATTCAGAAACTCGAGAAAACTGTTTTTGGGTTTAGCTCTCAAGCACTTCCTTTGAGTTTTGTGGCTCTGGAAAGTGACATTGATTCCAGAGTAATTAATGCTGGTAATGTAGTGAATTTCCAATTTATATTTGTGCTCATATGTTTTGGTTAACTACTTTTTTTTCTTAGATATGATGAAATGAGTATCCTCTTCACAGTGTTGATTACTGAAGCTACTTTGGAGAATGGATTAATACATTTGAGAAGTAGAGACACCACAATGAAGGAAATGATGCATATATCCAAAGTAAAAGACTTTCTAACTAAATATATATCATCAGCTAAGAATGTATAGATTTCAATATTTGTATAATAAATATTCACCTTTCCTAAGTTGGTTGTCTCATTTAACTTTGTTGTTGTTGAACCCTTCTGCACTTAAGAAGTGGATGTCTTTGATGCTTTGTTTTTTCATTGTTTTTACTACTTCTTGATGTATTTCATGGTATCAGGAATATTTTCAACTGTAAGAAAAATACTACTATACTAGATTAAGCAAATTGGGGTTTGTTTTTCTGATAACAAGCAATCGAGGGGTTCAACTGTCCAGAGCTGGTGTAATGTTTTCCTCTATAGTAGTTAGGGACCAAGGCTCTTGTTATCTTCCCATCATCTTTAGTATATGGTTTTTATCTTTCTACTTGTTGCTTCTTGCTCACAAGGTGGCTGCTCTGTTTCTAACCTTCTCAGCTACATTCTACTTAGAAAGTCAAAGAGATAAGAGCTAGTGAGCCATGACTCTCCCTTTTTAATTAGGAAAGTAAATGCTTTCCCAAACATCCTAATCAGAAGACTTGTTTACTTTTATTCAGAACTGAATCACACGATCATTACTAGGCCAGTCACTGTCCAAGGGCATGAGGATATGATTAATTTGGATCAAAGATACTTTATCCTTTGGTTATCCTTTGGTGCTATAGTACTGTCTTTTAGTCTCTGAAATGGGTTTTGTTATCAGGAAAGAAAAGGTCTTTATGCACACTCTCAGATATCAAAGATTAACCTAAGACTAAATTAGAACACTTATTGATTTTTGAAAAGCAAGCTAAAATAAATGTTAAATGGCATAATCTAATATTAGTATCTGATTCTATAAACTTTTATGTGCTGATTATGTTTGTGTTGACTGTGTTGTCATTGCCAACTTGGCAGATATCCCAACTGATGATTTGTGTACAATGTCTTGAAAGGTGGGCTAACTTGTCTGAGTTGACCTTACCTAGTAGGTTTTTATTTTTTGCTCTTGGAAAGAATTTCAAACACAAAGACATCTACAGGATAGTATAATTAACTCCATGTACATATCACCCAGTAACAACAACCATTAACCTATGACCAGTCTTGCCTCATCCACCCAACACCACCCTTCCATATTACACAAAGCAGGGCACAGCTGTCATTTCATTTGTAAACATTTTAGTTCAGGATCTTTTGTTAACCATTTTCATGCCTGAAAAAATTAACACTAGATGATATTAAGGAATTATTGAGAATTTTCTTGGGTGTGATCATGATATTATGGCTTTATTTTTCTTTTTAAAAATCCTTATCTGAAAGACATGTACTTAAATATTTTTGAGTAAAGATATATGATATCTGAGACTTGTTTTAAAATTTAGTTTTTAAAAAGTAGTAGAATATAGGTGAAAAATAGGGATAGTCCTGAGTTGTTGAGTTATGGGTACATGGGTTCATTGTACTGCTTTTTGTGTATATTTGAGGGTTGTAGTAATAAAAAGTTTTAAAAAATCATATCTGTAATATCAGATATCCAGTTATGGGCTTCCCTGGTGGCTCAAATGGTAAAGAATCTGCCTGCAATGCAGGAGACTCGGGTTTGATCCCTGAGTCAGGAGCATCCCCTGGAGAAGGAAATGGCAATCCCCTCCAGTATTCTTGCCTGGAGAATCCCATGGACCAGAGGAGCCTGGTGGGATCACCCATTGGATTGCAAAGAGACACGACTGAACTACTAAACACATATCCACTTAGTTTCTATTAAAAACTGTCTCATAATTGGATCAGGATCCAAATAAGGTCTACTTTATTCAAGTTGGTTGTTATCCTTATAGATTTGAGTACTCTCCTGCTCATTTGTACTTTTTTATGAAACATTTATTACAGTGTTTTCTACTGTTTGGATTTTGCAAATTGTATCACCTTGGTTTAGTTTAGCCTATTCCTCTATATCTCCTGTAGATTGGAAATTGACTCCAGAGGCTTGATCACTTTGGTGTGGGGGGCGGGTGGGCAAGATTATAGGCAGTAAATGTCTGTTTTTTTCTCTTGGGGGAATACCAGCAATCATTGACCAATGCCCAGATCAGCCAGTTTTTAAGAGGTGTCAAAATGCTGGTACACTGATTCTATCATCCTTCTTTATTTATTAGCTAGAATACTTGTATGAAGGAAAATATCTCATCTACTGTTTGCTTAGGGGTATGGGAAAGGTGGGAGAAATGCTGGGTTCACCCTCTTTAATTCTTTTTCACATACAGTTGTCCTATCTTTTGTCTCAAGTCCTTTTAACACAATTGTAATGCTTGAAAGCTTCCTTAGTATCTAATATCTAATATAGAGATCGTATAGTTTAGAGTTTCTCTGAGCAGCCCTGGTTCCTTTTGTTGGAAAACTGGAGATTATACCCTGGGTGCCAGTGGTGCTCATTAGTAGAAGGTGGTCTGTCTTTCTAGACCTTTTCAGTGTTCAGAGCTGGCAAGTGTGTGTGTAACTTAGCTTTACTGAGATATGATTTACATATAGTAAATTTATTTGTTTTAAGTGTACACGTTATGAGTTGTGACGTGTATAATCACCACCACCATGTGACAATATAGAACATTCCATTCCCCCCCAAAAGTCCCCTCATACCCCTTTAGCACTTTAGGGTTTTGACTTGAACTTCTTCTATCACACATCTGTATCTCCCCACCCCCAAGAACTCCAATTCTCAAGTATACTGAGAGATACAATTAGAACGTCATGCCATACAACTGCTCACCTGCCTTATCCTAACCACAGCACTCTCAGAAACTGCAACAACAATATTCCCACCATATGTCTACCTGAAAAGTTTAATTTCATTTTTGTCGTTTGGGGTCCAATTTTTGATTTTGGTATAACTGTAAAAATCTAAAAAGCTTTAAGAATTATTTTTCTAAAGAAATCTCAGTCCAACCCACATGTACCTTTATTTAGGTACTTTGTCTTCTTGGGGCCTCAGCCTTCACCGGAGGATTGCATTCCTGGTCTCAGGTCAGCTGACTGCACTAACTGGCAATGTGGAATATCTAAACAGCAGTCGGGGTAAGTAATATTTATGGAGGCTTATCCAGATCAGAGGTGTCCGACTGAGGTTATGCATCAGAATCTCCTATGGAACTTTTAAAAAATAAATATATTCAAGCCCTGTCCCAGAATGCCTTCTGGACAAAAAAACAACAAATAATATTGTAACGAGTTCAACGAAGACTTTAAAAATGGTACACATTAGAAAAAAAATGATCTTAAAAAAATTACCAGAGAGCTCCACAGGTGGATGGTATGGTCTTGACAGAACTTCCCTCCAACCCAATTGCATTTAATAAAATTTTTTTTACCAAACACCCTTCTTAGGTATTATACACACCAATATATATTAAAAGATGTTATTAGAAACAGCTCTATGGGATTTCCTTGGCAATCCAGTGATTAATAAGACTCTTTGCTTCCACTACAGGGGGCACAGGTTTGATTCCTGGGTGGGGAACTAAGACCCCACATGCCATGGGACAGGTTAAAAAAAAATAAAGAGCTTTATGAAATTCATTTTTCATGCCACCATAAAAAAGTTGTGGATGGTTGCTGTGTTACATCATATCTTCCTGTGAGAAAACATAGGAGAAATTTCAGATTTAAATGCCAGGGACAGTTGTGCTTTTCCTAAAGACTAGCCTGTTACATGTGTTATGTATCTGTTCATTTTGTTTATTCGCAAAAGCTTTTTGAGCACCCAAGTTTCAGGAACTTGAGGTGCTGGGATGTAATGGTGAGCAAAACAGACAAAGCCCTTCTGGGAATGGGCAGGTGGGGTCAGACAGTAAGCCAGGAGGTGCATGGGCAATTTCAGGTAACTCTGGGTAACGATGGTCTGGTAAAATAGGACAGGATGGTGTGTTTGATCACACCTAGGGTGATGTGCTTTACATGGGTGATCAGGGAAGTTTCTGAGGACGTGACCTTCAACTGAAACTGAATGACGCGAAGCAGCCAGCTGCGTGAAGATCTGGGACAGTGCACTGAGCAAGAGGGAGTAGCAAGTGGCGAGGCCCTTAGGAGGGAAGCAGCATGGAATGAGCGTGGAGCATAAAGCGGGGCAGAGCCGAGGGGAGAAGGTGAGGTCAGAGAGGTGGGCAGGGTGCTTACTTCACAGTAAGGAGCCTGGAAGCCACTGGGACAGGAGGGGGCACAGTTTGAGCAGAAGAGGGACATTCTGTTATTTTGAAAAGCTCACTGTGGAGAGTAGAATGTTAGAGGAGTAAAAGGGTAGTGGAGAGGCCTATTAGGAGCTCTGACAGTACCCAGGTGATGGTGGCCAGGACAAGAGAAGTAACAATACCCTCCTTAGACCTGGCAAGAGGTAGCAATGCCTCCTTAGTCCTGTCGTTTAGAGGGTCCTGCTCTGGCCCTTCCCCGCTGTGCCTTCCTCCACATTATATGTGAGGGGCCAAGGAGATGTGCTTGGAGATCATTGTAATCCTTAGATGTCTAATTGTCCTAACCTATGAATTGATGCACTATCCGAGATCTTAGTTACTGTTTCTGATAGTGTGTAATGGGGAAGGTCAAAGGCAATGACTAGTACATGTCTCTCCAGGGCAATAAAGGAGAAAGAATGCAGGATCTTCAGACATCACTGAAGCACTCACTGCTGATCATTCCTGTGGTTAACTCTCCCCTTTATCTCCTTTAGGAGAAGCATCACTGAGAGAAGGCTGTCTCCTTAGGTTGAAATCCCGAGCTCTGGGACCAGCAGGGGCAGAAGGGACAGATGCTTGAAGGGAACTGGTCAGAGCACACCTATCTGCAGCTCCTCATCCCAGCAGGGTTTTCATGCTGCCCTGGTGTCACTGTACACATACTGCCTTCTCCCAGTTTCCTATTGGGCTGCTGGCCTTTTTCTTAATGATTTCTGAGAGCTCATCATATATTGTAGAACATCATACTTTATCAGAGACATGGATTAAAATTATTTCCCCTCTCCATTCTTTTGATTTAGTTGAAGATTTAAAAATGTTTCATCTAACTAAATTTAAT